CCTGGCTATTTTTTGGTTGCGGCCGTCATTGTTGTTTGGCGGGCCCGGGCTGGATTCGAACCCGCCACCTTAGGTGTATGTGCCTGGCGCCTTAGCCACTTGAGCCACAGGCACTGAGCTTTTTGTTTTGTTTTTGTTTGATTGTTTTTTTTTGCAGTTTTTGGCTGGGGTCGGGTTTGAACCTGCCACCTCCAGTATATGGGGCCAGTGCCCTACTCCTTGAGCCACAGGCTCCGCCCTCATCTGTTTTTTCTTTGTTATTCTTGCAATGAGGATTTACTGAGTGTCTTTTTAATGCTAGGTTCTATGCTATCCTAAGACCTCCTGTCTCCTTTTTTCTGTTATTCTGAACTCCTATCCTATCCTCCTGTGCCTATAGAAAGAATTGGGGGAGCGCCAGTCGGACAGTCTGGAAAAGGTTCGCCAGCTGCTGCCACTGCCTAAGCAGACCCGAGATGTCATCACATGTGAGCCACAGGGCTCCCTCATCGACACCAAGGGCAACAAGATTGCTGGCTTCGATTCTATCTTCAAGAAGGAGGCATGTTTCATTGTCTTTCCACATCCTCTGCTTTTGTTCCTCTTTGGGCAAGAGCCTTTCTTGCATCAACCTCATAGCTACATCAGACTCAGGAGTCCATCAGGTTCTGCCAGTGAAAACTATCTCTGTTTTGAGTGAATCAACTTAACTTTCCTTACATTTCATCTCCCCATCTTTGGAGTCCCACCATCTTTCCTTGGTCTCTCTCTCTTTGCTCACACCCACCTTTTAACATACCACCCTTTTCTCAACACCCTACTACCCTCTTCTTCCTTTTGCTTCACCTGCCTTGTATCCTACCTCACCTATATATCTGGCTGACCACCTGCATCTCTTTTGTTCTCATATTTCTCTCTCCACAACCACCCCTCTCTGCACAGTTTTCTCTTTTCCCTCTGTCAGTTGCAGTATTTGTTGAATAACTATAATCATGGACAGTGAGAGTAAAAGGAGATGCAGGATTTAAAATCCAAAGTCTGGCTTAGCGCCTGTAGCTCAAGTGGCTAGGGTGCCAGCCATATACACTGGAGCTGGTGGGTTCGAATCCAGCCTGGGCCTGTCAAACACCAACTACAACCAAAAAATAGCTGGACATTGTGGCAGGTGCCTATAGTCCCAGCTACTTGGGAAGCTGAAACAAGAGAATCGCTTAAGCCCAAGAATTTGAGGTTGCTGTGAGCTGTGATGCCATAGCACTCCACCAAGGGTTACAGCTTGACACTCTGTCTCAAAAATAAATAAATAATAAATAAATAAAATCCAAAGTCTAAGCCCTTCATATATACATTCTTTTCACTTCTCATTCTGATCCATTTGTTTCTTTTTCTCTGTCTCTCTTTCTGCCTTTCTTTGTCTCTCTTCACCTGTCTCTCTTCCTATTTCTCTTTCTCTCTCTCTCTCTCTGCCTTTCTCTGCCTGTCTCTCCCTGCATTTTCTCTCTACTTCTGTGTTTCTATCTCTATTTTCCTCTGAATATCAGATTTCTCCCTCTGCCATCGCCCCCCCACTTTCTACCCCTCCTTTCTCTCTATACTTCTTCTGCCAGTTCTGCCTCTCCTGCATCTCCTTCTCTCCTGGCTTCATCTTCTCCTCCACATCTCTTTTTTTTTTTTTTTTTTTTTTTGAGATGGAGCCTCAAGCTATCCCCCTGGGTAGAGTGCCATGGCATCACGCTCACAGCAACCTCCAGCTCCTGGGCTTAAGCGAGTCTCCTGCCTCAGCCTCCCAAGTAGCTGGGACCACAGGCACCCGCCACAACGCCTGGCCATTTTTTGGTTGCAGCCATCATTGTTGTTTGGCAGGCCCGGGCTGGGGATTCGAACCCGCCACCTTAGGTGTATGTGGCTGGCGCCTTAGCCACTTGAGCCACAGGCACCGAGCCTCCTCCACATCTCTTCTCCACCCATTGCTTTCTCTCCTCTTAACTCTCTTCTGCATGTGTTTGTGTCACTGCGTGTCCATGTCTGTCTGTCTTTCTCTCGCCATCTCTGAATCAATCAATGACTTTTTTCTTTCAGTATTGCCGACAGATATTTTAGCCTCTCCTATAAGTGTTCAAGGTTTGTCTTCTGTTTTCTAAATTGTTTCTCATTTTCTGGAGCAGGGTTTACAGGTTTCCACAAAACAAAAGATCTCTCCCTGGGATCTTTTTGAGGGGTTGAAGCCATCAGCACCACTTTCTTGGGGTTGGTTTGGAACAGTCCGGGTTGACCGACGAGTGGCTCGAGGAGAGGAACAGCAGCGGTTGCTGCTCTACCACACACACCTGAGACCCCGGCCCCGTGCCTATTACCTGGAGCCACTGCCACTACCACCAGAAGATGAGGAGCCCCCTGCTCCCACACTGCTAGAGCCTGAGAAAAAGGCTCCAGAGCCCCCTAAAACAGATAAACCTGGGGCTGTTCCTCCTAGTACTGAGGAGCGCAAGAAGAAGTCCACTAAGGGCAAGAAGCGCAGCCAGCCAGCCACCAAAACAGAGGTTAGTTCCTCCCCCTGTCACAATTCTCCCACGTCCTCTTTCCTCATGACTCTTTCCAGTTTCTGGTTTGTGGGAGGGGTGGGGGTGCATGGGGAATGTTGTGCTATCAGAATCATAGTAACAACCAGTAAATCCAGCTCGTTAACCCCATTCTACCCTGCCTCCCCACCCAACTCAGCTATAGCCCACTCACTTTCTTCCTTTGCTGTTCACACAGGATTATGGAATGGGCCCAGGTCGGAGTGGTCCCTATGGTGTGACAGTGCCTCCGGACCTCCTGCACCATACAAACCCTAGTTCTATATCCCACATTAGCTATAGACAGAGCTCCATAAGCCTGTACACCCAGAACCAGCCCCTACCTGCAGGTGAGTGCCAGTCACTAGGAATGATGGAGTGACTTGGACATTCCTCCTGCCCAAAGGATGATGTCACTCCTTAGAGGAGCTATTGTGACTAGAACACTGAATAAGGGATGAATGGGGAACCTAGAGAGATAAGTTCATTCTCCTTTCTAGGTGGCCCTCGTGTGGACCCATACCGCCCTGTGCGATTACCAATGCAGAAGCTGCCAACCCGACCAACTTACCCTGGAGTGCTACCCACAACTATGACTGGTGTCATGGGCCTAGAACCTTCCTCTTATAAGACCTCTGTGTACCGGCAGCAGCAACCTGCAGTGCCCCAAGGACAGCGCCTTCGCCAACAGCTCCAGGCAAAGATAGTGAGAGGGGCAGTAGGGAGGGCTGTCAGGGAGAGGGGCTTTTGAGGATCTCAGGGCTAAGGAGACACTTTGGATCTTCACAGGACAAGCAGGGTGGGAGATAGAAGAGATGAGATGTCAGAAAGAGTTTCCTGAATTCATGCGTTTTTCCCCTTTTTCTCGTTAGCAGAGTCAGGGGATGTTGGGGCAGTCATCTGTCCATCAGATTACTCCCAGCTCTTCCTATGGTCTGCAGACCTCCCAGGTAAGGGCCATGAGGATCAGACAGAATGAGACAAGCCACTCGTTACGCTCTTGGCCCTGATTCCCTCTCTCCTCCTTTCCTTTCAGGGCTATACTCCTTATGTTTCTCATGTGGGATTGCAGCAACACACAGGCCCTGCAGGTACCATGGTGCCCCCCAGCTACTCCAGCCAGCCTTATCAGAGCACCCACCCTTCTACCAATCCTACTCTTGTAGATCCTACCCGCCACCTGCAACAGCGGCCCAGTGGCTATGTGCACCAGCAGGCCCCAGCCTATGGACATGGACTAACCTCCACTCAAAGGTACACGAAGTAGTGGTGAGCTAATAAGAGACACAGAGGCTTTAGCCTGTGACTGAAGGTGATAGGACTGCTCAGAACTTTTGCAGATGTTGAAAACACTTAATTTGGCCACATAATCCATAACCACAAAAGGCTGGAGCTGGAAGTGAGTCTGGAGACCATTTGTCTCACATCTACTTCCCTGACATTTCTTTGAGGCTTAGAGAGGAGAAATTGTTTATCCAACTCTGATAAGAAAAGATCTGGAGTTCACAGATAATACTACATGATAAGAAGTCATAAAGCTCGTATTAAAAAGTTGAATACCAGGAAGGATTAATGAACATAATCCTTCCACCATGGTTAATCAAGCCTTACTTAAGACTTTGTAACCGTGTCTTGAGGCTCCAAAGCTTAGGATTTCCAACATTGGAGCTGTGCTGGGACTGGTTGAAATGAGGAAAGATAGCTAAATAAATAAATACATAAAATACCTAGTCCCTCACCACAAAGAATTTTTACTAAAATTGAGGAGTTAAGACTTACACAGAAGAACATGTAGAGAACACTCAGAGCAAAGATATAATCAGATGTGCAGTTGTGTACTGTGAAGTCAAGTGGGAATTCAGAAAAAATACAGGGTAATAACCACGTGGGCCTGAGTCATCAGAGAAAGTTTTGTGAAAGAGATTAGACTTGAGTTGACCTTTGAAGGATAGGTATGATTGGGATTTGTGGAGAAGAGAACGAAGGGCATTCCAGGTAGAGGATGTATGTAGTATGAACAAAGACATGGGGACCAGAATGAGTAGGGTGTCTGGAGAGAAGAGCTAGGATGGCATGTCAGATTTGTGTTGGGGAAGTAGTAAGGGCTAGGCTAGGGGGATGCAAATTGACAGATGGCTTTGAATGCTCAGCTGCAGAATTGAGACACAATCCCAGAAGGGCTCTTTTGATCAAGAGAGTGATAAGAGGAGTTGAACATGTTGAGAAATTCATGTGGAATGTGTGGATATGGTGCATAGTGGAAGGTGGGAGAGGACTTGAGACAAGGAGCCCAGCCTGCAGATTGCTGCAGTGATGTACAGATGTAGAACAACTTGAAATGTTACTGGGGAACAACCATGGCAACAACAGAAAACCTCAATGAGTGTATATCTACTTTGCCTACCTTGTGCTAAGACTGTTTTTCACTTTCATAAGAGAAAAATAGCTTAAAGCAGAATTGAAAATTTTCTACCCATTAAGGTCATGAGACAGTAAATGAAATTTACTTCTACAACCTAGAAATTTATCAGATCGTAAAAGGGCTCTTCTGGTTAGTGACAACAGAAATGAAGGAAGCAACTTGTTAATATTCTTTTAGGTCAGGGATCCAGGGTTTTACTTACCCCTTCTTTCTCCCCTCCCCCATGCCTTGATCTCTGGACCTCTTGTCTTTGGAGGTTTTCACACCAGACACTGCAGCAGACACCAATGATAAGTACCATGACTCCACTGAGTGCCCAGGGTGTCCAAGCAGGTGTCCGCTCAACTTCTATCCTACCTGAGCAACAGCAGCAGCAGCAACAACAACAGCAGCAACAACAGCAGCAGCAGCAACAACAACAGCAGCAACAGCAGCAGTACCACATCCGGCAACAGCAACAACAGCAGATGCTGAGGGTAAGGCACTAGGATTTCATCTGGGGCCAGAAAACCCAAGGAGAAGGAGAGGCACCAGTTCTTCCCATGCTGTTACCAAGACTAAATGAGACAGTATACTAAAGCAGCCAGAAGAGTGGCTGGCCAATAGTGGTTGGTGCTTGATAAGTTAGTACCTTATCCTCTCCGTTTTTGTTTTCTGGGGATTATAGTAGGAAAGAGTTGGACATTGTCTTCTGGGTACTCTAGAATTGGTTTCCTTCTGTGTAGTTGTCTGAGAAGGGAGCATAATAGACTCAGAGTTCCCTCCCCCTTCCTCTTCATCCCCTGTCCCCATCCTTCCAATACTGAATCTTACAGTCTTATTTCTCATAGCAGCAACAGCAGCAGCAGCAGCAACAACAGCAGCAGCAGCAGCAACAGCAGCAGCAACAACAGCAACAACAGCACCAGCAGCAACAGCAACAACAGGCGGCTCCTCCCCAGCCCCAACCCCAGTCTCAGCCCCAGGTAGCGGCTGGACTGCAACCCCAGGCTTAGGGACAGCTGCCCAGGTTGGGCATGCAGTCAGTAAACCGGGTTGGGGACAATATAGAATGGAGAAGAGGTGGGAGACAAGGCATGGCACTCTAAAAAGAGATTGAGAGATGAGGATGAAGGAGGTGGAAGGTCAGAGTTCAGTGTTCCACTTTTCCATTTCCACCTCAGTTCCAGCGCCAGGGGCTTCAGCAGACCCAGCAGCAGCAACAGACAGCAGCTTTGGTCCGGCAGCTCCAACAACAGCTTTCCAGTAAGCCATCCTACCTTCCCAAAGAGAACACCATGAAATAAAAGGGGGGTGGGGTAGGCAAAAGTAGCTGAGGTAATTGCTTCAGGCCCAGATTATGGGGAGAAAAATTCCATTCTGTTCCCTTCCCTTGCTACCTGAATAGCTTTCCTCATGCATACCTATACCCCTGCTTGGTCTTCTAGCCTTGATCATCTCTGGTTTTTCACAGATACCCAGCCACAGCCCAGTACCAACATATTTGGACGCTACTGAGCCACTTGGAGGAACTGCTTGTGCACTGGATATGGCGCCAACCTTTCCTCTTAATTCCCAATCCCCTTCCCAGGCCAGCACCAGTAATGGTTGGGGCTCTTGCCTCAGGCTCCATTTTTAATAAGTTTTTAGTATTTTTGTTAATGTGAGGCATTGAGCTGTTGGGTTTTGTATATTATTTATATAGAGAGCCCAGAGCTGTTGCATCCAATACACAGAGCTTCTTTGCAAAGGGAGTGTGTGAGTTCTGCATGTCTGGGAAGGGTGGTCTCTCGAGAGAGTTCTGAGGGCTGGAACAACAAGTCAGTCTTCATTCTGTTCATATTTTCTCCCCTGTTAACCTTCTGCCTCCTCAATTTCTGAATTCTCATTGGATTGTTACCCTCTCTTCCCTTCTTCAAGCTACTAACATACTAAGATATGGGCCCTTAGTCTCTTAAGAGGACAACTTACTTTCTCAGCTAAATGTTGCAGCTTCTTTCTAACTTTTCTCCATGGGAGATATACCACTGGGACTGGGGAGGGACCATTAGACCAGAGAAAAACACAAAGGAACTTAATTTTCTTTCCACAACACCTTAGATGCTGAGAAGGGTGGAAAAGACAGACACTGCCTACCCTTTTTGCCATCTTGTGGGTCCCTATCATGTACCAAGTAGCATCCTTAGGACAGAGAACTTCCTGAGAGTCACATTTCTGGATGGAAAATTGCCCTCTATTGGCGTGTATCATCATAGACTAGGTGATGGAAGAACAGTATGGTGCTAGGAGAGACCAGTAAAAAGGAGCGCCCTTTTCTTTTTCTGCCCTGCTGCCAGAACTGCTTGTTTTCACATGACCCACCTTGGAAGTTACCCAAGATAACTAACTGTTGCTCACTCCCATTCTACCGCAGAGAAAACTCAAAACTGTTGCTCCAGAGTCACATTTGGAGCTGCGGCAGGGCCGTTCTTGGTCCCCTTGCCTTCTGGTTTGGGCCTTAGATCAAATTGTGTCCGACAGCCAGCTGGTTACTACAATGGTCTCCCTAGATGAGGCTGGGAGAAGGTCAGCCCCAGCCTTGTGGGTGGGTGAGGTACAGGATAATTTGGCAACTTAAAGATAATGTCCAAACCATAGTTTGCACTCTACGACTGGGAAGTATCAAGTGTTCTGGTTAAACCAGGAATACCAATCAATACCCAAGTTATAACAAATAAAAAGTAAAATAAAATCCCTCTTTGAGGCCCAGGAAACCCTCACTCTCATGGGACTCACCAAGTTTAAGAGCTGTGTGCATAAGGAATGGAACTCCCTAACAGGGTAAAGGCAAACTTGACTGAAACTGTTTTATTCTAGCCTGAGCATAAATGTTCTGAGCCACAGGGTTAGAGGCTTGGCTGGGATAAGAGACATTCACAGAGGTTTTGGGGGTGCTAGACAAACTAGACAGGTGCACTGCAGGCAGAGACACAAGGCAGGAAGACACTGGATCTGGAGGGAAGAGACTGAAATGGTCAGACAACTGGCTCGGTGACAGTCTAAGTCTGACATGCCCCAGCAGGAGCAACACAAGGGAACGACACCAATCTTTGGGAGAGTGACAGGATGAGGGCATACTGGTTGCTGCTTGGGTAGTACAGGTGCTAAGAAGAGGAAGGTGATGCCACCTGAGGTGGAGATGTGTTTTTGTGGAACACAACTAGGGACTCCTGCAGGCAGTGCCTCAGTTTTTCTTTGGGTCAAGGTTTCAAGCTTCACAGGTAAAGTTTGGACTAGCTGGCCTGGAAGATCACCTGTCTGATAAACTTGCAATTTGACCTGTGAGTGAGAGAGAGAGAAAGAGTGCAAGCGGAGTGTGCCTGAGCAAGGGGGGAATTGGGCCATGCCCCAGGACTTGAGCCATCTCTGGCACAAAAGGAGTTAATGGCAGGGACCGCGCCCCCCCATGTCCGGGCACGCGCAGCGCGCCCCCTTGGCGCGCGGGCACAGCAGCCAGGCTGCCGGAGAGCTGATCTCGGGGATTCGGGTGCGGAGCCCTTGGCCTGGAGGCGATATGGGTGGTCCGTGGCCTGGTTCAGTCGCTTGCAGCAGCCCGGGGAACAGGTGAGGCCGCCTGCCCCGGTCGCTCATCCTCTAGCTGCCCATACCTTGCCCTTATCCTATCCCCTCCCAATCGCAGGCTCCTCCACTCCCCAGCCAGTGGCCCCTATCTCTTTCAACCCCATGTTCTCCATCAGCACCCCTGATCCCCCACTTCTCCACCTCCTTTTTAAATCCCGCATCCCCATCATCCTCCCTATCGTTCTCCCGCCACTGGTCACTCCATTTCCAGTCTAGCCCTCATGCTCATCGTAATATCCCTATTGAGGGCCCCCAGCCCCATTCCTGTATTGCACATTGCCAGTCCCCCCTCCCCTGCATTGCAACCCCATCCCCCTTCCATCATAGCATCTCAGAGCCAGGCACCCTCCCCCACTCTCTGCAGCCCCCCCACCCAATGGAGGCCTTTATCCTATCCTTCCCCATTCCAGTGTAACTCCATCCCCCAATACCATTTCAAACCCGCATAGTCCCCAATACTGCAGTTCTCAATATTGGTCCATTCCTACACAATGCCCCTCGCCCAATAGCTCTCCAACCCCAAAAGTACCCCTAGATTCCATTCTCCTCCCCCAACATTGCTGCCTCCCCTGTCTTCTCCCAAATAACAAGTTGGACCAGGATAGAGATCTTGGCTTTGGGGATTCACAGTGGGTCCTAGAGTACAGAGGGCGTTTGGGGGTCGGTCTGTTTGTCTAGGTGTTCACAGGGGAGGGGCTGCGGGGAATTGACTCAGAGGGGAATTTGCCATTTGGTGCTGCTGAAGGGTTACTGGAGAAGGAGGCATCCCGAAAGGGTTAATGGTATTTGTGGGTGGGGGCGGCACTGAGGGGGTTAATGGGGGGGTGCGGTGGGGAAGCCGTGTGAATGAGCGGTCTGTGCCCCAGAGTTGCCATGGAGATGGTGAATGGGGGGATTGTGTGAACTCAGCTGCGGACTATCCCCCCCATACACACACCCACCCACTCCCTCCTGCCCCACCTCCCTACTCCTACCCATTCCTTCCCTTCCTCCCCCCCACCTGGGTGCATTCTGGGCAGTGTCTGAGACTCCCCCCCATACTTTGCTCCCCATTTCCCCATTTCCTCTGAGCCCCCACTCCTTTAGCCACTTTACCCACCCTCCCTCCTCTTCCTTTTTCTTCTCTCTCTCAGTCTTTCTCATACACACACACACACACACACACACACACACATTTTCATTCCTCTCTCGTGGTGGCGATTGCCGGCGATTGCCGGGCGTTCCCAATCTCCCTCCCCCACCCCTTCAGCCAGTTCTTAAAGGAGCAGGCCTGCAATCTTGGAAGGCGGGAGAAATGGGGGAAAACTAAATGTGCATGCAATGTACATGTGCGTGTGCGTGTGCGTGTGCGTGTGTGTTTGACCATGCAGGAGTGTCTGTATGTGCCTATGTGTATGTGTTGACTGTGTAACTGTCAGAAGGCCTGTATGTCTGAGTGTGTTGCTATTTCTGTTTCTGTCTCCACCTATGTGTCACCATTATGCTGCATGTGTCTCTGGATATTTACCTATGTGGGTATGTGTGGATTATATTTCAGTAAGTCTCTCTGTGTGTCTCTGAATATATCACTCTTTGAGGCTCTGGCTGTGTAAGGCACTCTGTCTCAGAATGTGGGACTATATGAGGGGATCTCTGTGGGTTTGGAATATATGTCTTTATGAGTGAATGTCACAGTGTCTGTGACCTAGCCACTATGATATTCTCTCTTATTACCTCTTTGAGTCTTTGTGAGTTTATTCCTATGAGTCTCTGAGTATATGTCCCCCAAACTCCATTGTTTATTTTACACTGGCTGAGCATTGACAATGCCTAGGCAGGACAATTTCTGCCTCAGTTCTGGCATTCATTGTTAATTAACAGATGGCCAATAGAAAGGACCAAAGCTTCAGGATGGGAACAGTGAGGGCTGAGGAGAAATGTATAGGAGGGACTCAGGAGGGTCTGGGGGGACTCTGGTGAGTGGCTGTATTGCCCCCATCCTGCCTGAGAGTGAGGAGGTCTCTCTGTGATTCCCTCTGTCTATCTGCTGCTTTCTCTTCTTATGCCTAGTGTCCCAGAGTGAGGTCAACAATCCTACCTACTCCTTATGTAGAGGTCCTTCTGTGGGATTACCGTGTCCTTGGAGCTGGACAGCTCAGTATTCATGCAGCATGTCCAGGCACCCAAGCTCCATTACTAGTTCTTCCCACCTCCTGTCTATCACACGCCACTCTGGCTCCAGCCAACCCCAGTGAACTCCATTGGCTGTGGGGTTGAAGTTGGGTACTTTGAACTTACAGTGGTAACAACTGTCAGCCTGCCAGTCCCTTTGGATTTTCCAACCATGGCCAGGCACATAGAATGCTTCTGACTGGTAGTGTATCATCTATGAATCTATGAGTCGCTGGAGACTTAGGCATGTGAAACTTCTCCTAATGGTAGGAAAGTAGCCCAAACCCAGCATGGCCCCCAAAGGCCAACTCTGTAGCCCTCCCAGACCATCTTGGATGACGCATACTTCCCTCTTTCCACAGGCCTGTCTGGCCCTGAGGGAGTCCTCTTTCTGAAGCTGTGGTGCTTGGACGACCTGCTCTCTACATTGCTGGGCACCTGTAGGTGTCCCTCCAGAGCTCAGTTTTGAGGTTCAAGTCAATGTGGCCATGAAAGGGCTGCCTATTGGGTTGATGCTGTGACCCTGGAGTCTGCTTCTCCTGACAGTCCCTCTGCCCGGAACATGTGGCTGTGGCTTGTCCCGCCGTCGCTGTCCCTAAGCTCTAAGCCCACAGTTGGCCGGAGCCTGTGCCTCACCCTCTGGTTCCTCAGTTTGGTGCTGAGGGCCAGTACCCAGGCCCCAGCACCCACAGTCAATACTCATTTTGGGAAGCTAAGGGGTGCCCGGGTACCATTGCCCAGTGAGATCCTAGGGCCTGTGGACCAATACCTGGGGGTGCCCTACGCAGCTCCCCCAATCGGCGAGAAACGTTTCCTGCCCCCTGAACCACCCCCATCATGGTCGGGCATCCGGAACGCCACACACTTTCCCCCAGTGTGCCCCCAGAACATCCACACAGCTGTGCCCGAAGTCATGCTTCCAGTCTGGTTCACTGCCAACTTGGATATCGTAGCTACTTACATCCAGGAGCCCAACGAAGAC